GTCCATCTGGATCAGGGTTCATCCACCTGGGATCTGTGGGATTGGTGTCCATCTGGATCAGGGTCCATCCATCTGGGATCCGTGGGATTGGTGTCCATCTGGATCAGGGTTCATCCACCTGGGATCCATGGGATTGGTGTCCATCTGGATCAGGGTTCATCCATCTGGGATCTGTGGGATTGGTGTCCATCTGGATCAGGGTTCATCCATCTGGGATCCGTGGGATTGGTGTCCATCTGGATCAGGGTCCATCTGACATCCATGGGACTGGTGACCATCTGGACCCGAGTCCATCCAGGTTGGCATCCATGGCACGTGTCCGTCTGGATCAGGATCCATCTGGGATCCATGGCACTGGTTTCCATCTGGACCAACATCCATCCGGCATCCACGGGACTGACATCCACTGGAGCAAAATCCGTTTGGCATCCACAGGACCGACATCCACTGGCCCAGGGTCCATCCAGCCCTTCCCCCGCTGGCCCAGCATCCATCCAGCCCACGATCCAACCTCTCCAACCCACGATCCAACCTCCCAGTCCAGCCCAGGACCCTCGGGCTGCTCCTCACTGGGGAGGGGAGAGGAACCACCGTCAGTCCCCAACATCCCTCCCACCACTTCCATCCTCCGGCCGGGCCAGCCCCCACACGTGGGGTGTCCCCCGGCCGTGGGGTGTCACCTGGAAGCCGGGCCAGCCCTGGATCTCCTGGAAGAGGGCGTTGCCGGGGCAGTCGGTGCGGCCGAGCTGGCGGTGCCCGTGCAGGGTGTAGTTCTGCAGGATGCGGCCGGCGCGGACGGCGCAGGGCAGGAGCTCGTCCCGCACCAGGGCCAGCGTGTCGGGGTCGGGCAGGGTGGCCGAGAAGTCCCCGACGTAGCCCACCCCGAACCCTCTGGTGTTGTAGCCCTTGGTGTGGGCGCCCACCCAGTGCCACCCCCGGCCCTCGTACAGGTACCCGTCCGAGCCCACCACGAAGCTGCGGGGACACCACGGGGGGCACAGTGATGGGGATAATGGGGACAGTGATGGGGACAATGGGGGACACTGGTGGGGATAATGGGGGACACTGGTGGGGACTGAGGGGGGACAGTGATGGGGATAATGGGGGACACTGGTGGGGACAATGGGGGACAGTGGTGGGGACTGGGGGAGACAGTGATGGGGATAATGGGGGACAGTGGTGGGGACAATGGGGGACCGTGCTGGGACTGAGGGGGACAGTGATGAGGATTGAGGGGGACAATGGTGGGGCCAGTGATGGGGACAATCGGGGGACAGCGGTGGGGACAATGGGGCACAGTGGTGAGAATTGAGGGGGGACGGTCATGGGGACAATGGGGGGACAGTGATGGGGACAATTGGGGGATGGGGATGGGGATTGAGGGGGACAGTGATGGGGACTGAGGGGGAACAGTCATGGGGACTGTGGGGTATGACAGGTCCCAGGGGGATTCCAGGTCCCAGAGAGGGTTCCAGGTCCCGGAGGGGGGGTTCCAGATCCCACAGAGGGTTCTGGGTCCCAGGGGGTTTTAGGTCCCCAGAAGAGTTCCAGATCCCACAGAGGGTTGGTTCTGGGTCCCAGAGGGGGTTCCAGGTCCCGGAGGGGGGTTCCAGATCCCACAGAGGGTTCTGGGTCCCAGGGAGGGTTCCAGGTCCCGGGGGGGAAAGTTCCAGGTCCCAGGGGGGGTCCCAGGGGCCCGGGGGGTGTCAGGCACCTGTAACCGATGTCGTCCCAGGCGCGGGTGTCCTGGTGGAATCTCTGCATGCTGCGCATGGCGCGGGCGCAGGCGCGGAACGAGCGGCACGGGGTGCCCGGCTCCAGGGTGTGGTGGATGAACACGGAGCCCAGCGGGAGGGTCAGCGGGCTGGGGGTGCCCCGGTACGGGCGGGCCCCCCACATGCAGCGGGGCACGATGGCCGGGCACTCTGGGGGGCACAGGGGCGCTCAGCCGGGCCCTCGGGGACACAGCGGGGGGGACTTGGGGACAGGGGGGGCACGGGGTGTCTGCCCGGCTGAGGAACCCCTTGGGGACACAGCAGTGGGGTCTGGGGGCAGGGGGGGGCACAGGGGGGCCCCCGCCCAACTGAGGAACCCCTTGGGGCCCCGGTGGGGGGATCTTGGGGACAGAGGGGGCACGGGGTGTCTGCCTGGCTGAGGAACCCCTTGGGGACACGACGAGGGGGGTCTCAGGGACAGGGGGGCACCTGCCCAGCTGAGGAACCCCGGTGCCCTCCCCCCGTACCCACGTAGCGCCGGGTGAACTCCCCCGCCGCTCTCCGGGCCACGGTCGCCACCTCGCCGGGCCCCACGCCCTCCAGCAGCCCCCGCGTGGGGGGCAGGACCCTCAGCAGCTCCAGCATGGCCACCAGCTCCTCCTCCAGCTTCCCCGGCCCCGCCAGCGCCCCGAAATCCCGCCGCCTGTAGCTGCTGGGGGGTCTCCCCCTCTCCGAGCCGTTGCCCGTCCCGTAGTAGCCCCGCAGGAGCTCGGAGAGCGGGGCGGGCTCCCGGGCCAGGCGGGCACCCAGGACCACCCCGTCCATCGCCCCGTTGGCCACGGCGTCGGGCACGAGGGTCGGGGGACCCGCCAGGGTGTAGTTTTGGGGGTCGTCCACGTCGTCCCAGCAGCCGCCGGGTCCCAGTGCGGCTCCGTCGCCGCCCCGCGCCAGGAGGAAGGATGTCCCCAAAACCTCGGCCACCGTGACGGCCAAGAGCGGGTCGAGGGGCGGCCGGAGGGTGGGCAGGGGGTCCCGAGGGCCCTCCGAGCCCCCCCCGAGCCTCAGCCCCACCTCGAGGCCGGCCAGGAGGGGCCCGAGGGCCACCGTGGAGCCGTCGGGGGCCAGCACCGCCCCGCGCTCGGGGGCCGCGGGCTCGGGCCGGAGGAGCTCCCGGAGGAGCTGCCACTGCTCGGGGGGCAGCGCTGCGGGGGCCGGGGTGGGCTCGGGGGGCTCTCCCAGCACGGCGCGGCACCCCGGGGTGCTGCAGACCCCCAGGGCCCGAGCCAGAGCCGGGACAGAGCCCGGGGAGCCCCCCCCGGGCCGGGGATTCCAGCGCGTCCAGGATCTGAACCAGCGA